CACACAGGGGGTAAAAACCATGAAGGAAAAACACTTAGGGAACAACACAACAGGGCAACTCAGAAAACATGGCCTAAATAAGGAACAAAATACAAACATACAAACATACAAGAAAACTAAGAACACTGGGCCAACATGGCCCAGGACCATGACAAACTCGAATTGTGTTTTGCAAAACACAATTCAGCAACACATCATGTGCAGATCCAATATCTGATTTGCTTTGAAAAATTCTTACCTTTCCTTGCTTCTTCCTCCCCTCACCCCCAACCAGTCACAGTGGCTGGCTGCTGCTCCCTGAGCCTGGTTTTGCCAAAGGTTTCTTCCTGTTAAAAGGGAGTTTTTCCTTCCCACTGTCACCAACTGCTTGATCATACGGGGTCGTGTAATTTGGGGGGTTTCTTTCTAATACTGTTGGGTCTATGCCAAACAACATAAACCCCGTTGAGGTGACTGTTGCTTGAAGTAAATTGTTGCTGTAAAATATATCAGAATTGAATTTGTCTTTCTTACTGTCTCAGTGCGCCCCAGGGCAGCTGTGGCTACAATTTAGCTTGCCATCCCCAGTGTGTGAATGTGTGTGTGAATGTGTGTGTGAATGGGTGAATGACTGAATGTAGTGTTTTGGGTCCATAGGGACTAGTAAAGCGCTATGCAAATACAGGCCATTTACCTTTTTTTCTTTTTTTTTTTACCATTTACGACACTGGGATGACTTTATTTGGTAAAATCAAAGAACTCATTCGACACTAATATGTATTAATGTGCTTATCAGATTTGATTGCTCATTAATTCAAGGTGATGGAACGGCACACAGATCATTTCTCTCCATGCGTACGCCAATGCTGCATGGTGGTCTGGATTTATCCGTTACTTTTCTGATATGGTGTGATCTAGTGCAACATTTCATATGGTAAATAGGGAATTGTTGGTTTTTGTCTTCATATGTTACTATTTGTGCTACTATATTCTGTCGATTGCTTCTTAAAAGAGATCCCATGTCCATCAGCAGTAGGAGTAGTAGATTTTAAATATTACTTAAATCTACAACAAATTAATGCTTTGCACTTCTTCTTTTATGCTTTTCAAAAAACAAATGAACTACACCACAGTTATTTTGGAAGCACATGACTTTTAGAGGCCAGTCTAGAGCCAGCTTGGCTGTGTCCAAACACAGTGAGCCCAAACACACTTTGGGATAGCGTTGCTATCAACTTACTGGTTTAGTGAAAGTATGTTGCATTTGTTTTTTTCTTAATATAATTTGAGACAAGCATGTCTCAGTATTTTTTGATATGATGAGTTATTGTTCCACTATTTCGAGTGGGATTGAACGGATACAAACAAATGCACCTGCACATTATCATGAACTCAGTTTCCAAGGCGTGCAAAAGCTATGGAAAAGGTGATTTGACAAACAGCGGGTTATTGTGACTGTGGGTGGAGAAAACAGGATACTGTAGCGCAATCCTATTGTCCTCTGCTGAAACGGCCATCAGCTATTTTGAGCCTGTAACCTAAGGTTGAATTGATAGTGCATTGCTCCACAATGTGTAATTGCCTATATGGGACCCATTCCTTTGTGAGTCTATCTGGAGATGACGCAATCTATTGTCTGTGCTTTTGGACTTCCACCCTAATGTGGAGAAAGGTCATTCCATGACTCTGTTACATCCTTATTCTGATTGAAATCACCTTCCTTTTTCATGTCTCTTTTCCTAAAATTAAAAAAAAATTCCTGTCATACAGGTAATCCCTCTGCATGGGATTGATTGATGTGGATATACTGCGTTTCAAATAATCAGATGAAATGTGGGGCATAAGGAAAGCATGCAGTTTGCTGGAGTCTGACACCACATGCAGGCTAAATTAAATCCATTGAGGCATCAAACAGTGGTTTGAAAGGAACTCCTCAGATCCACTGATTGTTAACAAAGAAATGCAGCCTTGTGCATTCCATAAGGGAGAGGAAGAGGGTCTTTTTGTTGGAGATAGGGGACCAATAAAGGACGATGCCTCTATGGTAAAAGAAGGTCTTTGTGCATGAACAAGGTCTCAATGTGGCCTTTGTAAATAGGGCTGCTGGGATCGGCTGTCAAACTAAGGAGGAGAATCATTCTGATTCTTTATCTGCCACTTTGTTGCCATTGTGGGCATAAAGTGCTCATTTAGATTTTTTTTTTACGACAGAGAGGGGGGATATTGAGGCATTTGAGGCCTAAGCAGGCTACGGTATGGGTGTGTGGGTGGAGGACGTAGGTAGGGAGTGTGAGACGTCATGAAATACATCAGCTACATGGCAGTTTCTGTAACATCTGTATGTGCTACTAAAATGCCACTGAATGGCCTTTTACCCTAGTTCCCTAAACATTGCTACCTTGGAGTTAATACAGCAACCAAGCCTTCTGTGTTGGTTTGATTTGTTTTACTCTCGGCCTTGCTGGGTAGAAGTTTAATGGAACATTTTAAACTGCTCTATTCATATTATGCAGTTCAATGGAAGCAGTGCTGGGTGCTTTAAGGCATCACAAATGAACTTGAAAATATATAAAAAGAGCAGCTGAATTAGTGATCTCAAATTGAGCAGATTTTTTTTAAGTCCACGTTTTGAGGTATCGAGGCTTGAGGTGTGGTTCTGTACATGTTATGTTGTGTTCATGGTTTTGTCGGGAGTTCAAATGTTTCTGCTTCAGAGGCAATATGTGCTCGAATTAGACTGTGAATGGGGATTTTATTCAAAGCACAAGATAAATGTGAAGTTGTATCAGCCTCAGCTCTGACTTAATTAATGCCTCAAGCTTTCTCAGTTAGCTTAGGGTCTTGCCACCTCTGACCTGTGGGTTGGCAAAGCTGGGGAGTGGCTACTTTCACTTTCTTTCTTCTGGTCTGTGTTGTGCTTGTGTCATGTCTAGGACAGATGAGCCTGTGATGGTGGGTGGTTTGGTTGGTATGCAGACATCTAAGGGCAGATTGTTCCCGTCTGTGGCTGGACCCAGCTTCTTCTTCTTCTTTTTTTTTTCTCATAAACAGACGACCATCCATTATGAATGAATGTCCTCTGTGACTCATTCGAGCCATTTCCAAAATACCCTTTCTGCAGAAAACACTTAGATACACAACTGTGCAGACAGTAGTATACACAGTCATCCGTGCTGATATAACAGAGGTGCTAGCGTGATCAGCAGCGTACACAAACACAGATAGTCACTCCTGAAGTGCACAATATGTAATGTGGGCTTTTTTTTGTGTGTTTTGTTTTTTTGCAGGGTGGGAAGAAGCACAATGTCCCCTGTGGTGGAAGAGACTGCAGCGGAGGCTGTAAATGTTTCCCAGAGAAGGGTGCCAGGGTAAGTTTCCTACATTAACTACTGTTCCAAGTAGCTCTGCAAAGACCGCTCTCTCCCTCCCTCTCTGTCTCTGTCTTTTCCCTTTTTATCTTCAGTGTTAACCAGCTCTACCAGCTGCTTTTCAATCTGGAATACCATTTAAGGCCATGATCACACATGATGGTGTATTTAAGTCTCAGGAAACGATGAACTTACAGGCTGCATAGGGGCCAGTATAAAATAAATATGATTTTCTCTAACCTATGAATCCTGTGAAAATCAGGGCTGTAAATGAACCCCCAGCAAGTTCCCTTTAATTGGACCACAAGCATCAATTCAACTTTGAATAAATATCAGGTTAGCCTGATATTTGGGTGCTGTGGATGCACAGCAGCCACGATGGGGTAATAACCCTTGTGTCATGTGAGGTGGTCACTGTTTCCAGCTCAACTCAACATCAGTGTCATGCCCGATCACAGCCTTCTAGTCATGTTGTGGGGAATCAAAGTGTCACAACAATGCAAAGTTAACATATCAGATAATCAGTCTATTAAGACTATTTCACCGTATGGAGGATCGCACTGCTGTAAGTCATTAGTTTGACATACTTATCACCCTTTCTTGTAGTCTAAGAGTTGAATTTCACATCATTAACCTCTGTGAAAGAAAAGGTCAGAGAGGAAGAAGAAGTGTCTGAAGTGAGGGAGAGCAAAAGAGAAAAATGAGAGAAGGTTTTAAATCA